CACACACACTCATTCACATGCACGCGCGCGCACACACACTCATTCACATGCACGCGCACACACTCATTCACATGCACGCACGCACACACACTCATTCACATGCACGCGCGCGCGCACTCATTCACATGCACGCGCGCGCACACACACTCATTCACATGCACGCGCGCGCGCACACACACACTCTCTCTGAGTCATTCACATGTATACACACGCACACACTCATTCACATGCACGCGCGCGCGCACACACACACTCTCTCTCTCTCTAAGTCATTCACATGTGTGTACACCCCCCCAAAAAACCCAAACAAACCCCAACAACAAACGGGACCGGGGACTGTCTTCAGAGAATCGTGAGCAGGTGCTTGGAGTGAACTCTAAGTCTGCACCCAAGACTTGGCCAGTGAGGTCACGAAGTAGAACGCTCGTCTTCTCCCACTTCTATCTACAATCCAGCCTCTCCCTAAAGCAGCCCAGGGCTGTGACCGGCTGACCTGGACTCGGGAAGTCCACCTCGGGAGCAGCACTCTACCCTGCTGTCTGCGTGTCATGGGCTTCCCACTTGTGTCTTCTGAGGACTGAGCAGAGGCAGCAGGGGACCTAGAAGGGGGTGCCTCTGTGACGTGCCCCGTATCCTTCAAGTCACTGGAGACACTGGGAGGGGGTTTTCTTCTTCCAGACTTGGCCCTTCAGCTCACCAGAGTGCTCTAAGCAAAGGCCTGAACCCCCCAAACATGTAGTGAGAATCCCAACGGCTATCACTGCATTTGGAAACAGCTTGTCTTTGTTAGGTTAATGGGGCCCTATCAGTGCAGGCTGTTTTAAATAAATCCCCCTTGAGAAAGGGGAGAGAAAATATGAAGGAATAAGAAAGTTGAAATGATGGGAGACAGATGGCACATGAAGTTCACCAAAAGGCTTGAGACCCTTATCTGAGACTTCTGTGTCCGCTGTGAAGTTGAAGTTGTGAAGATCCACTTGGGATCTTTCTGCTCCAGCAGCAACAAGATAAGACTGGCACGCTGCAAGGAAGTGCCACCAGCCAATTCCACCCCAGGGAGGCCTACGGGACAGAGAACGGCCCGTAGGGCTTCGCTGCAAGGAAGTGCCACCAGCCAATTCCACCCCAGGGAGGCCTACGGGACAGAGAACGGCCCGTAGGGCTTCTAAGGCTGCCATCTTTACACACATTATCAATATCATTAACATCACACACAAGTAGAATCTGGCTGGAGAAAGTGAAGTAACAGCTGGAGCAGCACATCAACAGGGAACTGTCAGGAACTCCAGCCGGCCAAGTGGTAGGAACTGCGCTGCCAGTCCAAAGGCACACAGTTCAAATCCACCAGCTGCTCCACGGAGAAAGACGGGCAATCTCCTCTCATGTGATTTACAGCCTCTGAAAACTCGCTGGAGGGTCAGCTATGAGTTGGTTCCAAGTCCACAGTGCGTAACAACAAATAACAAGCAGCTAGATTCAGAAGAGGTCACGCAATGAAGGCCATCACTGCTGAGGACAGATGGACCCTGACTGAACTCACAGAACACCAGCAAGACGTTCACTTGTGTTTAATTGACCTTACAACGGCATCTGACTGTGTGGATCATAGCAAATTAAAGGAAACTTGGGAAGAATGGGAATTCTAGAACTCCTAACTGTGTTCTTGTGGAACCTGTACTTAGACCACGAAACAATTACTTGAACAATTGCTTAACATCACGTAAGTCAGTGTCAGGGTAGGGTCCTTTCACCTCATAGATTCTGCCTGTAAACGGAGCAAATGACCGGAGGAGTGGGACTATATTTAGAACCACCTCTGGATTGGAGAAGACTCATTAATAACCTTCAACATGCAGATGACACAGTCTCAATGGCAGAAAATAAAGATGGCCCGAGGCATCAGGAATGAGGAAAGACGGCAGCCTTCAGTACAGATCACACCTCAACATAAAGAAAAACTCTCACAACTGGAGGAACAAACACCATGATAAACCTAGAAAAGCTAAGGATATATTTTAAGTGGATCCAGAGTCAACACCTATGGGAAAACTCAAAAGACATACAGCAACTGGCAAACTTTTTTTTCCTTTCCATTGAACAGGGCTTTGAATCCTGATTTGAAGTTTTTGGTTTTTTTTAAGTTTGATTTATTATTATCATTATTAATTTTAATGAAAATTTACAGACTTTGGATTTCCATTTATTTATTGTTGCACTTTTCTCCCTGTCCACCCCTCCCCTCAACTGGCAAACTTTTAAAAGTGTCAAAGAGCAAGGATGCCACTTAGATGACTAAGGTGTGCCTGATCCAGGCCACGTATTTTTAATTGCCTCACATGCATTTGAAAGTTGCAATGTAAGTAAGGAAAATCAAACAAGAACTCTATGAACTGTGATATTAAAGAAGAGTATCCAACACAACACGGACCGATACATTTAAATGAGACAAGCCTAGTCCCTATTTCCAAGGCCTCAGAAAAAAGTTATCTGTTTGCTGTAACAAAAGGAGGCTTGTTTTCGGTCTTTAAGCCAATTCCCTAATCATGGTCAAAGTTACGTTAGGGGTCTCCATCCCTTTTCAGACAGCACACTGGCATCGCAAACTAAATGCTACAAGAGCTAAGTGCAAACAGGAGATGAGGTCAGGGCCACAGAAACCAGCAAGCAGCACTGGCCCGGCACCAGCCATCAAAGGGTCTCGTCAGTCTTTCTGTACATCTTATCATAATTTCAAGGGTGGGCGCTCATGGCTAATATAACTGACCTGTGATCAGTTATCCGTTAGTGAAGAGGGCAACACTGCCGACGGCAGGCACCTGTACGTGCCGGCACGTGGTACGGGGACAGTGGTGGGCTCAGATGGCCTGCCTCCCTTCGTCCCAGGTCACACAGGCCTCCCCTCTGTTCTGGGCTCCCATGGGCCTCCCCTATATCCCGAGGAGACACAGGCACGTGGTGCGGGGACAGTGCGGGGCTCAGAGAGCTGGCCTCCCTTCGTCCCAGGTCACACAGGATCCTCTCTGTCCACGGTCACACCAGCCCCCCACTTTGTCTTGAGGATACACAGGCACAATGTGGGGACAGGGGTGGACTCAGATGGCCTGCCTCCCTTCTGTCCCAGGCAGCAGCATGGGGGTTTGGGGACCTTACTATCTCCTTGTGTTGCAGGAGGCCAAGGGGCCAACTGTTCTTGGGGAACATCCCCAAGATGAGGGGCACCCAGGGTCCCATGAGTCGGAGCCTCACTCCCAACAGTCACTGCTCTTAGGGGCAGAAGATGCCAGATCAGGATTCTGAGTCTTCCAAACAGGGTGAATGCCCTCCTCTCTTGGGAGGCACCCAAAGACTAGAGTGAATTACAATGACTCCAGAGGGCCGAAGGGCAGTGTGAGAAGAGGACTCAGGACAAGTGGCCATTTCTGATGAACTTGTCAACAGTCCATGCTCTGAGGGGCCTGGACACCACAGAACCCTCCAGACTTTTGAGGACAGTCGTTAGCAAGAGGCCGAGTTTAAACTTCTGGGGGTTGATGCACAAAATCCCACGTCCAGCTTCGGGCCCCAATGCTCCAGGCCCCAGTGCTGGGGTGTAAAAGCCTGAGTGAGAATCATCTCAGTATGTGGCAAACTCGGGAAGGTTGACAGAGGGCCCTCAACACTGCAAACCAGGGGCAGGAACACCCAAAGCACAGACAGACGGCTGCCAGGGGCCGCACTGCCCACGAAGCTGCTTCCCTCGAGTGAGTGGGGGGCCGGGCGCACCTTCACCTGGCAGACGCACACCCTCACCTGGCTAGGGTGCACCTTCTCCCCGAGTGAGGGGGGCTCATCTTCTCCCCAAGTGAGTGGGGATGCAGACCCCCTGGTGGGGGTACACCTTTCCCAAGTGAGAGTGCAGTCTCCCTGATGGGGTGCACCTTCCCCAAGTGCGGGCACACCTTCCCCTTGAGTGAGGGGGGTGCACCTTCCCTGAGTGAGTGAGAGTGCAGCCTCCCTGGTGGGGTGCACTTTCCCCAAGTGTGGGCACACCCTCACCTGGCAGGGGTGCACCTTTTCCCTAGTGGGGGGTGCACCTTCTCCTAGAGTGAACGTGGGGGGCCCCCGCACCTTCTCCCAGAGTGAGGGGGGGCACACCTTCTCGAGTGAGCAGGGGTGCAGCCTCACCTGGTGGGGGCACACCTTCCCCCGCCGAGTGAGGGTGGGGGCACACCTTCCCCCTGAGTGAGGGGGGCA